CAAAAGTATTTATCAACTTCTGCTAAGGTATGTTAGGGTTCAGAAGGTGTTAAATGAAAATGCTCTGGATGGACTATAGAAAAGTAGAATCAGATATCTTTGAATTCTTCAAAGATCTTTATGGGTCCCAACTGTATTAAATGGATATCTTTGTTTTCCTCTACTGTTAGTAAAACCTATAAGAGATGATTTTGTCTTTAATAAAGGACATGATGTTGAACCAAATGTTTGGACATCATCTCACAAAACTGATTCTCCATAATAGAAGGTTCTGAATATCTCCATGTGCTAAATCAGAAATTTCTCAAGTTAGCTAAAGTTTTGGTGCTTTATCTAGAGGATTGGATAATATGGAGTTTGGTCTGTGAAGGGATCTCCATTTTTTCAACAAAAAAATATCTAAATCTGATGTTATCATGTATTCACAATTCAAGGAGACCTTAATAGGTGTAGTTTGGAATAAAGTTGTTCACGCATTATGAATTTTCAAGAAAAAAAATCTGATGAAGTTGGTGTTAATGAAGGGTGATTTTCCTTAGGAAGCAAACTTGTCTTATGAATTAGCCAAGTTTTATTTGTATCCTACTCTTCACTTAGGATAAGTATAAATCTGAAGGAATTGTTGCTCTCTAGTGTTTTGCATGCAATGTCAAAAAGGATGTCATGACATTGTACTATGACAAGTTGGTTACAGTCTGTGTAATCAAGTTTGCAAGTTTGACTTGACAAATCTCATTGATACTGGTCTTAGTTCAGTGATCTTGCTGTAAGCAAAGGTATTCTCCTTAGCTTGGGATCTCTAGAAAGATATTATGAAACATACTTAGTAATTCCTTGGATGCAAGTCAGATTGAAACCTTAAAGAGTGTTTTGGAAAATTTCAAAAAGGATATCATGACATTTTACTATGAAAAGTTGGTTACAGTCTATGTAATCAAGTTTGCAAGTTTGACTTGACAAAGCTTATTGATATTGGTCTTAGTTCTGTCAGTGATCTTGCTGTAAGCAAATGTATTCTCCTTAGCTTGGGATCTCTGGGAAGATATTATGAGACATACTTAGTAAGTCCTTGGATGCAAGTTAGATTGAAACCTTAAAGGGTGTTTTGGAAAATTGCTCTACTATTGGGTCAATAACAACACATGAGGCTTGTACACTTTATTATCCTATCAGTTATGGTTATCTGTAGCCTATACTGTGTCAGTTAGAGTTGTATTTCCCAGCAGTCAAAGCTTGGGAAGAGAATAAGAAAAAAAGAATGTCTCTCTTATATGGTGAGTGGTGCACTGATGATAAGAGTAACTACACTTGCTTAGAAAATGCTCTCATTGACTGAACTTTTGTTACAAGCAAGTTAACTTCTCTCTCTGTTTAAAAATGAGTCGTTATAGTCTAAGCTTAAAAAAGAACCAATCTTGGCATAAGGTTGATGTTATAAAGTTTATGTTGTTGGAAGCTAAAAAGGATAAAAGTGCTGATTCATAGTAGGCAGAATCCAAAGAAAACTTTTTGTTGAGTTATCCACTAGTGTATTCATGTCAAGTGAATTCAGTGCTATATCTCGTATAACATTTGACAAAAGTAAGGAGTGCAGAAGGTTATTTGACAGAGGTAAAAAGTGAGGAACTCCTGAAGATATCCAATAGCATGTGTGTGTGTTTCACCAGTTGTTGTAGTTATGTCTTTATTACTAGTGTTTGTTTCCTTGTGTGTCTATCGCCTGTGTGCAATATGTCTTCATGTGTTTTGTATACATTTACTCTAGTTTTTGTCAATATTTTGGCTAAAAAGGGGGAGTAAAATGTTAGTGTTTTGTGTGTTATGATGTTACATCACATGTCTTAACATATTGATTTAGCATTTTGATATGATTGTGTGTTACTGCTTTTGGGAGAGTGGTTGTTTATGGTTGCTTGCTGTATGCAATTGTTTAGGGGGAGCATGATAGTTTGTCATGCTTGCATGCTTCTACTACTGCTAATGTGTTTTCTAGTATGCAAAGATGTCAAATCAGATGTTTTGACATTTTGTTTATTTTTATGTGTGAATTTGGATAGCTCATGTGTGTTGTTCTAAGAGGATGAGTCTCAGATGTGTGAACTTATATAGCTCATGCAGGTGATTTGAGTTTTCCTCAGTTATGGGCTGGTGATTTTTCAGGTTGGTTTTCTGGTGCTTCCGGAAAGTTTCTTCTTCCTCTTGAGGGGGAGAATTAATTTTATGGGACAAGAGAATCATTAGACCTGTTTGATATAATTAAAAGATAAAGCCTCTATATGCAGTTTGTTTGTGGCTTGGTGATAAGGGACAAATAAATCTGAAGTAATAAAGCTATCTGAAGTTTGTGCTCTGTTTATGGTTTTATTCCTTTCTCTAGGATGTCTGTGCAATGGGTTTTTTAGCCAAAATTTTCCAAAGGGGAAGATTGTTAGTTCCATGGTTTTATGATTGGATAATTTTTGGTAATACATGGTTCTATATTGATGTTGATCAAGATGTTGCAGCATTTTTATCAACTGTTATAACAGGTTTGCTATTATGTGGTTTTCAACCAGATGTCGAAGGCAATGTCATGACATCTTGTTCTGGTACAACAGGCGTCGTTGTTTGGTATCTCGTGACAAGATTTGTTTTGATTTGGTGAGATCCTTTTGGATATGCCTTATCATTATGCGCAGGTCAAGAATAAGATTTAGGAACAATGTGCATATTTGATTTTCTTTCTTAAAAGGATCTTGGAGACTTTTTAGGAAGATTTAAAATTATTTGTTCCAAGATTTAAGGAGATATTTTCTACATCAATCAACGTATGGATCAAGGAAAATTGGGCCGAGAATTCGAAGCCCATGGACAACTGAAGACTATAAATAGAAACACTTAAAACTAAAGTAATTTTTAACTTTTCACAATTGTAAAATTAGGGGAAGTCTAAAGTCTTAGGCTTTGAGAGTCTCTTGTGTTCTTATGTTTGTAAGTCACCCTTGTATCCTTTTATACTTGTGGAAGACATGTTGTTCTCACTCAAAAGCCTTTAGGTAATGAGTTGAGTATTGTTCTTGGTTAAAGCTTTTAAGCAATACCAACTATTGTCCTTAGTTAAGAGTCTCGACTAAGTATTATTTATTTGAAGTGTAATCTTCTATTAGGATTTTTTATACCATCACTGATTGTGATTAGTTTATAGACTGTCATTGGGATTGGGGCAGGTCTTTTATCACTGCGGTGATTGGAAGTGAGATGAGATTTCTCATGTCTAGATAGTGATTTCTAGGTAGAAGTTGTATGGGATAGTGATTAGGAGAGAATTTATAAACTGGGTCTGTTTAGGCTTCAAACTAATACTATTATAGTGGATTTCCTTCTTGGCTTAATAGCTCTCAGATGTAGGTGATATTGCACCGAACTAGGTTAATAATTGATTGTGTACTTTATTACTCTACATATTATTTCAGTTTGATATTGTTGTTTAGTCTGTCTACAGATGTCATAATATTTGTCCTGACATCATGTTCTGATGTTGGAAATATCAGTATGGACATGTGTTGTTTGTACCATAAATTTCATAAAATTTGGATGCAAGATCTTTGTAAATATAGAGGGTGTAGTGTAGAAGGTGATTGGAATAGTTTGTGGAAGATAAGAGCTCGTCCAAAAACTAAGCATTTACTTTGGCGGATTTGTCGTAGTTGCCTTCCTACGAGAGGTAGACTTTGATAACATTATATTCCTTGTCCTACTATATGTCATTTATGTGAAGGATGGGTGAAAGATGAGTGGCATGCGTTCTTTGGTTATGCACTAACGTCTTAATGTTGGAATATGGAGGGTTTAAGTGATGTTATTACAATACAATTTCAAAGGTTTAATGAGGTTAGGACAGTGATTCAAGACATATGTAGTAAAGAGGATAGGAGGGTCGTTGGTAGAGTTGCAGTTATGGTATGGTTGATTTGGCATAATAGAAAATATTGGATCTAGAATAATGAGAAGAAAGACGCGAATCAGTTGGGGATGCAAGGTTATCATATTTGGAAGGACTAGTTTACGACTCAAAATTATCAAGATATGAGTGTTAATGACCAATAGGTCCAACAACAACCTTTATGGCAACCATCTTGATGCTAGTTTCAATAACCACTTAGGAACAACTAACATGTGATGGTGCTATAGAGATTGAAATGGTAGATTCACCATGATGGGAACATCATGGGATTTTGGTCTTTACACAATCATTAAAGTGAAGGAATTGACTTTGAAGGAAGTTGTCCAAGGAGCCATTTAGATGCAAATAGAGCGCATTATTTTTGAAAGTGATTCTCAAATTGTAATGCAAACTATTCATGCTAATTATGGTGGTAATTCAGAATTTAGTGTGATTATATCTAGTATTAAGGATTTGTTGGATTTACATTCTGACTTTGAGATTAAGTTTGTTAAGCGTCAAACGAATTTGGCTACCCACTTGCTAGCTAAGGCGACCAATTCTTAGACTAAGCATAACTTTCTCTATTCAATTCCTCTTTATATTGAGCAACAATTATTTAGTGAAATTAATTGAGTTTGTTTGTGTTAAAAAAATAAAGGAGTGTTTTTATTTTATAAATATTTAAAATTGAAATAGTCTAATCTCAACCTAATTAGTTTTTTATTTTGTGGTGGTTCCTCTGGATTTACAATATTGGCATAGTGAAACTAGATGAAATTGAAAATAATCAACCAGAAGTAATAACTAATCAATAGACATAACTAATCTATAATATAAGAAAATTAGATGTTCTGATAAATTTAATTTTAACCTTGTTTTATTTTTTGCCAAATCATCAATTTTAGGGCAAAATGTGTCTATCTTAATCAGAGCTCAACAAAATGTCACGTATGGTTACATGTTAAATACACTTTACCAAAAATTTGCATTGTTATTCATTATTATAATATTTTTTAACTAAGTAATCGTTGGATATCAAAGAGAGTTCTGAACAAAAAGAAAAAGGCAAATATTAATGTTTGTGTGTCAGCTCTATTTGCAGAGAAAATGGTTCCCAATGCATACTCACCTGTCTCATTTTCTCTCTCTCTCTCTCTCTATCTCTATCTCACTCTTCTCTTTCATGTTTGTTTCCCGCAAACAAACCCTAATCAGGCTTCGTTTCAATTTTTGTTCTGAATCTACACTTGACATGGCTAGACCATCTGAAGTGGTGAAAGACATCAATGATAGAGAAGAACTTTGGAACATATCAATTAGAAAGGTTTGTGTTGGTAAACAATATGATGTGTTGTTGTCTAGCTTCTGTTTTAAAAAGGTTTAAAATGGTTTAATATTCTCAAGCTACTGGTTTTTTCGAATCTGTTTTTTACATTCAACTGATATACATTTCCATCACTGCTTTCAATACCATTCTTTGGAACGTCATATTTTATTTTTAGGGTTTTTGTTACAAGTTTTTAGATCTTAAGTTTGGTTACTTTTAGATGATGCTTTGGAATGCAATGTTTTAATTTTAGGGTTTTTGTTACAAACTTTGCATCTTTCTGGTTGATAAAGAACTTTTTTTGAAAAATGTGGTTAGTTTAAGATAATGCTTTGGAATGCCAAATTTAAATTTTAGGGTTTTTGTTACAAACTTTTAGATCTTGCTGCTTAGATGTTGCTTCTCTTGATGATACAACTGACTCTAACATGATTCTTTGAAAAGGCAGTTTTTAGTTTTAGGATTTTTGGTTTTAAGAGTTTTTAGTTTTTAACATGATTCTTCCCAACACTCTAAAATTTTCTCAACCTACTGAATAGGGGAGACGAGACAAATCTGGAGTTTCCGGTTGTTTTACAGTGATGTGCAATAACATGCTGTTTTCTTGGAGTAATCCTTGTGGAAAGTAGTCCATATGAGCTTTAGGTGGTGAAATAGTATTTTTCATTTATTTTTGTTTTATTTTATGACTTTAAAACATGAAGATATCAATGTTGTTCATTCTGTTATCTGCATAAACAAGCAACCATGAGATCCTCTGAGAATTGTTCTAACAAAAAGGTATGGTTGATGATGCATTCTCAGATTTCTCATTTTTTTCTTTTGGTAAAGTAAATAAACCCACCACTTTTGAAATAACAGAAGCATGAAAAGACTAAGGATGAAATGAATGAATGGTATAAAACCCATGAAGCTATTCAGTGAATGTAACTTGAATCTTTTTCTATTTTGTTAGATTTTTTTATTCTTTTGCAAACTGCAATTGAATATTTTTTTGTTGGAATAGTTATGTGTTTTAATTTATTGGATGTTAGGGCTCTAGACAAACAAGTTCCTATGTTGCAAATGGAATTAGCAACAACTGGGAGTTATCGCGAAAAGAACTCAACTGGATCGGTCAACGGTTCCGAGGAAGCTGCTTCCAAGAAAAATAAGACATTTTTCATGTTGTGTGTATATGTGTTTAACTTTTCATGTTATGATACTTATGATAAAGGAACAAAAGTTGTGGATTTTTTGATTCTTTGTTAGCTATTGTTTGTTTAGGAATACTTGCTAAAGTGAGTGATGAATTGTTTGGAGCAACTGGTTGTACATTTGCTGCATCGCAACAAGAAGTATTTTTTATAGAAATTTCACAGCTTGTAGAAAGTGCTCTTGATGGTTATATGGTAACAAGTGCTATTGATGAAAACATTTTGACATTATTTTATATTTTGTTATAGAAGTTTCTGAAGTATAAGTACTTATTGGATAAACACTTATGCTATAAGGGCTTATGCACGTGCATCGATTTGTATGCATTCATTTTTCGTACCAAGGTTTCTAAAAATTTGAGATATTTTCTTTTTTAGGTTTGCATGTTCGCGTATGATCAGACAGGTTCGGGGAAAACCTATACAATGATGGGCAAGCCTGGACATCCCGGCGGAAAGGGCTTCATAGCTGTGAATTATGTGGTCAAACATACCGTGAATGCAAAAGTTTGCCGAAGGGGAAAAGTTTGGTATCAAGTTAATCAAAAAACATCTTTTAGTATAGCAACTGAAATTTGTGCCATCGATCACATTCATCGATGAACTAAATGCAGTCCGAGGCAAGCATGGAAGAAGCTTCAATGGTGAACGTGACCAAACACTAAACCAACCATGTTTTGTCATCATTTTGTATTTTTTATGCTTGGATAAGGCTTATGAAATAAGTGCTTATCATATATAATTATTGTTTGTTTCGTCTATGTAGTTGATGATAGAAATGGATGGGTTTGAGTCAGAGATGATTGTGGTTGTCATTGCAGTAGGGAGACTTCTGCGGAGTTGGAAAAAAGTAGACAAAACCGAAGGAAAAGATTTCTTTGATCATATATACATTTTTTTATAGAAATGATTTCTCAAACTATATGAAAATACAACCACGGCATAGGGTATTATCTATCAGATTTATAATGCGCATTTGGGTGTCGAATATGTGATGCTGTTGTCTGCTTCTAGACAGCTTCAATGCTTGACGAGTGTTGGACTATTGCTTTTGACTACTCTATACACATTTGTGAAGCCAAGACAATGGCTTTCATTGTTAAAGTTGCAGCAGGTTGTACTTTTTCTTCAATCATTTTCAGTTCCATTAGCCTTACTACATTATTCAATTTTGATTATTTACAAAACTCTATTGATTTAATACTTAAAGTTGCAAAGATATTAGACTGCCACTAACTACAACAACTACTTGCATTTGAAATGGATGCTAATACTAAAGAATCTTCAACTAAAATTCAATCTGGAGTCTTCAACCATACTTGTAGGGGTAACAGAAGACTGAATTAAAATCTATGGATTGTCTTACGACAACTTCTATTATGGGTCGCAATAGTTGCAAAAAATAGAATACCTATGAAAATAATATAAAAGGAAAATCAGTGTGTTTTTCAGAAAAGATAAAATATAACTGATATAAAAATTTATTCTTAATAACTTTGGTTTTATTTTAATTTTAAAATGGATGAGACACAATAAGTTAGATTTTAGTACAATTATGCCGTGCAAAATAATATAAAACGGGAAAAAAATAAAACTTTTGATCCAAATATGTAGTGCAACAATAAAATTTTAGTAAAATTTGTTTTTTCATATTGTGAAAATTGTATGAAACGAGAAAAATGAATTAACTGATCCTATTAAGTAATGAGTTAATCAAATTTTAATAAATTCTGTTTTTTATTCTAAAATAGTATACGGAAAAAAAAAATTATTAATCTAAATAATTATATCCGAAAATTTACTATTGATCTTTATGTTTTTGTAAACGATACCTAAACAAAAATAATATTTGTATACGGAAAAAATCTATTATTGATCTAAATATTTTATATACGAAAAATGATATTTATGATCTAAATATTTTTGATTAAAAAATGGTCTTCGAGAAAAAATATATTATTGATCTAAATATTTTTTATACAATAATTTATTTATTGATCCATATATTTTTGAAAACGATACCTAAACAAAAATAATATTTGCATATGATAAAAAAAATCTATTACTGATCTAAATATTTATATACGAAATATAATATTTATGATCCAAATATTTTTTATTCAAAAATAGTATATGGAAAATAATTTATTATTGATCTAAATATTTTTATATACGAAAATTTACTATTGATCCAGATATTTTTGTAAACAATACTTAAACAAAAATAATATTTGTATACGGAAAAAATCTATTATTAATCTAAATATTTTTATATAAAAAAATTAGTATTTATAATTTAAATATTTATGATTCAAAAATGATATACAGAAAAAATATAATAAATTAATCTAAATATTTTTATATATCAAAAAATATATTATTAATATAGATATTTTGAACCTTTTATTTAAAATAAATATATTATATAAACAATTGTGCTATCAGAATTTATCGGACGCACGAGTTTATTATTAGTTTTAATGAAACCAATAACTATCTAACTATATATATAAGTATACTCCTACTCAAGGAAGAAAGTAAATGTTGAATTCCCAACTTTGACAGTTGTGAGTTAAACAAAGCTGAGCAGACAAAGTCTGATAGAATATCAATGAGTCAATTTTGTGTCCTGATATAGATGAGCGAGCTATAGTGTTGTTGGATTGGACCGATACCCAGATGAAATAGCAATAAATGTACATGAAATTATTTCATATCGTGGAATTTGTATTTGTCACATGAGAATGATATTTTATACTGCTCTTGGGTGTTTCAGAGATCAAGTATTTCTTAATACTGCTCTTGGGTGAAGGCTGCTATTTGCATAATCTTGACTATTGTGTGTGGCTATTTCATATTAATTAGGATGAAATTCACTCCTGCCTTATGCTTGAAGTAGAATGAATCTAATATCCTTACCTTAGTCCACCAAGTACCAACAATTGAAGGGATGTTCATTTGTCTCCATTCTTGAATCACAAAAATGTTTCACAATGCTCGGTAGTAGTGGGTCAATTAACACAATATAATGGCAAAATCTTAATCAATTTAGGGTTAATAGTAATTTATCTTCATCATAGGCGTTTTCTGAAAAATTGTCTGAAAAAAAATCGCATGAATTACTCTAATATTTGAAGATTTACTTGTTTTAAACCTTCATGAAATCTAATCATCAAAAAAATCTGTAAAAAAAATTCCTTCATAAAACCTAATCATCAAAAAAATCGCATGAATTCCCTTAATATTTAAAGATTCTAGGAGTTGAACCCACACTCTTCACATTGTCACTCTAGCGCCTTATTAATACACGGGATGTATTGCATTGTAACATATACATTTAATTATTGTTATCATTTGAAATGTGATCTGGATTGGGTCCACACTTGCCCTTCGAATAAGAAGCCCAAAAACAGACAACCCAAGTTAGGGACCGTTGGACGACTCCCCATACGTCCGTTGGAGGACGTGACCCACGACCTCATGACAGTCATCTTAAACTTCCCTCCGGGAATCACGGGTCCAACCCTATTCTCGCGGAGCAGTTGACCAGGAGGAGTTTGTTGGACTTCATACACACGTAAGCCCTGGCAATTCCTGTTATTGGGCCTCAACGTGACCCAATAATAAAGACCTTGGCCCAATGTTGGGGGCTATAAATACCCTCTCTTCTGAGAGAATCAGGTATTCAACACTTTCTAACTCTTACGCTTGCTTGCTCATTGCGTAACTTACTTTGCCATCAGAGTGTCTTGCAGGTACCCCCCCCCCCCCATCTCATTCAACTTCTGCCCGAGCTAGTTGTGACAGTCCATTCTGATTCGGTAAGATCAGTGGCGCCGTCTATGGGAAACTTGCTTCCCCGTCTTCCTTTTACTCAAGACTAAAGCTAAATCACTCCTGACTATCATGGCTGATCAAACTGCAGAAAACATGAACGTCCACATCGTCGACGTCAACAACAACGTCGCCGACAATAATGTTGGCCTCGACAATGCTGGTACTGCCGACCATAACACGGTCCCTACTGTTAATATGCCCGGTCCCTCAGATTATAGAGACGGATCAACTGCCTCGTCATCATCGAAACCTCCACGACTTGAAGACGATCAGCCACCTCCCCAACACTATCAACCTATCCAGTTCCACGAGGTCCCCGTTCCCGCCGGAGCAGACGCCACGACCAGGGCACTGTTTGCGGTGATAAATCAGACCAACTATCTGATCTCTGCTCAAGGAGAGAGATTGAGGGCTCTCGAAGATGCTCGGAGATCCCCGGAAGACACAGGACACCTCAGTCTCCTCCTCCTCGCCAAGCAGAGGAACATCCCTGATCTCCCTCGCGGAGACATAATCGGGACATATCTTGAAGTCCTTCTCCACGACCAGCCGGCGACGCCCGCATTGGAAAGGGCCCATCCCGTTGACACAAGGAGATGCGACCGCGTCCCCTCGCGTCAAGAACGAAGACCCCCTGGAGACAGGAATGAGGGAAACAACGAACGACCATACCGCCCAAGGAACGCTCTGCGCGACCAGGGCCACCATGACCGCCAACACATCAGATCCCCTTCTCGCTCACCAGACAGGAGTGACTAAGACGACCCCCGCGGTCCCTTGTCACAAGCCATCATGGAGGCACCCATCCCCCCAGGGATGGAGAAGCCCCCCCCCCCACCTGAAGGAATACGACGGTGTCGCCGACCCATTCGATCATATAGACGGGTTCGAGGCCATGCTGCATTATCACAATGTCAGGGGACCAATCAAATGTCGGTTGTTCCTTATGACTTTAAGGAAAGTTGCGACGAACTGGTACAAAAGTCTCACCCCGGGGTCAATTACCTCCTGGTGAAATCTAAAGAACCAATTCATCAGTTCATTCACTGCTTCACGATGGTACCCAAAGACCGAAGCAGCCCTCGAGGCCATCGTCCAGAGACACGATGAGACCCTGAGGGAATTTATTGATCGGTTCAACCGGGAGGCCATCCAGGTCCCCTGTATCGATCACATGAAGAGATACCTGCTCGAGAGGGGACTCCTCTCTAGAACATAATTCAGAAAGGCCGTAGGCATCGAACCGCCCTGGACATTTGATGCCCTCCTCGAGAAAGCCAGAGCCTACATGGACTACAAGGAGAGGGGAGCGGAAAATAGAGCCGGGGATCCCAGGAATCGCGGATCTACCAACCATCCGCGACAAGACACCGCCCCTCCTCGACGAACTGGCGAGAAGAGAAGAGACGATAAACTCCGAGACCCTCAGGAAAAAAGAGGACCCTCGGGGAGGTTTACTGAGTACACTCTGCTGACGGCTTCTCGTGAGCACATTTTAGCGGATTGCGTAAATACAAATTTCAAGGATCGCGGCGTCAAGCGTCTTCGCCCAGCTCCTGCTAAACCTGGGGCAGATCGGGGCAAATAATGCCAGTATCACCGGAGCCATGGGTACTTGACTGAAGATTGTGTCCATCTCAAGGAGTCTATCGAGACCCTCATAAAAGGGGGGAGACTCAGGCAATATCGGCGCGACGACGCCCCTGGTCGAGATGCCCGTGAAACAAGGGAGATAAAGGAGGATGTCCGACCATATGATGAGTCGG